CCCCCCCCCCCCCCCCCCCCCCCCCCCCCCCCCCCCCCCCACATCTCACCCACACCCTACCCAGTTTGCAAATATTTTTCTTTTCTCCTTATGTTGGTCTGTGAGTAACGGTTCAATATGTTTTTTTAATAGGCCCGAAGTTTTAAAGTCCTCCTTGAGCACTCTTCGAACACTGATTGGAGAAATGCTCAATTCAATGACCAGTTTTCGAGCAGATGGTGATTTTGGTCCTTTCATTCTTCTTTTGATTTAACCACTATCGCGAATCAATTTGTACCACCGTTCAAATCACGAAAGATCTTCTTTGGTCGATCAGCATTTTCGTACTTGGAAAGTACAACTTTCTGCAACTCTTTACTTTGCATGATATAAAATAGTATCAATACGATCGAGTACAAAATGTAATAGACTGTTTTGTAGAGAATTTTATGGCGAACCTCTTGGGGAAAAAAACGACGTCTGAGTCATCAAAAATAAAGGAGATGTCGCCCAAATACTGAGACCGCCATTTATTCTGGCCCATCCGTTTGTAGTTATTACGCATCAGAAGAAAATGAAAAAAGCATTAAGATAATAAAACAAACTGCGGTCAAACATTTTTCTTCCTCTCTAATGCAAGAACGAAACAAAAAAAAGTATGAAAACATGTGATAAAGAAAAAAGTACTCTTTTCACTTTAACGCGACATGCAATTGATATCAGACATTTACGACATGTTTCCGTTTCTTCAACTTTTTCTGCTTTTTTTTTCAACACTACTCTTTCACATTAGTACTACGAGCCCAAATATTAGTTCTACAAGTGATTATGTTCTATATGAGGGTGTTGTTGCGAACACTCTGGTGTACTTTGGACCTAAACTTGGTAAATGTCTCATATGGATCTCTACATTATACCAAATGTTATATCTATACCTCCAAGCTACTTCACCAGCTTCAATTTCAACATTTTTTCCTGCTACTTTAACATCTATCAATCCTTTGTCTCTTACAGCTGCTTCAGTACTTGGATACATCTTTATGATCGTTGGCGGTTTAGGAAGAGTTTGGTGTTACAGAACGCTAGGAAGGTTTTTCACTTTTCAACTTACTATTCGTAATTCTCATAAGCTAATCAAGACTGGCCCATATGCTTATGTACGCCACCCATCGTATACATTTGCACTTATCTTGACCATTGGCGTGCTTCTTGTGCATCGACGCATGGCAAATTTTCTTCCGAATACAAGATGGATACAGATTCAATTTAGTCCCATAGGACTTTTAGCAAGTTGTGTGATACCGATACTGTTCATCAAAAAACGTGTCACTCGTGAGGAAGAAGAATTAACAAAAAAATTTGGCAAAGAATGGATTGAATATGTATCAAAGACAAATAAATTTATACCTAGATTGATCTAATGAACATACATCTACCGATACAGCTATATGTCGAAATATACGCATCATAAGCAGGATCAATAATTCTTTTTTTTTCTGGTATAAGTGGATGTGGGTATGGGTGGGTGAGGTGTGTGTGGATGTGAGTGTGGGTGGGTGGGGGTGGGGTGTGAGTTTGGCTCGATTTCTACTGGTCATTGTCACTCCTACCCACACCCACATCCTTGTTTAATTAAATTGAATATTGTTAAATACAAAATAACTCCCTATTGAATTGTCTTCTTTTTCTTTCAATCATATGTTATAAAATGAAATAAAAACTCATACAACCCAAAGAAATCGATAGGCCAATTTGAGAATATTAAAACTGTTTTAGTTTACTTAAAAATCAAAGCAATGCTGAATTAAATCTTATTTATATTTATTATTGAATGGAATTTTAAAATATAGTGATGATTTATTGTTGAGGAGAGATTTTCAAGATTGAAATGCATTTCAGAAGATTTTTCTTGTTGCAAAGAATTCAGTGTTAATTTCTATCACTGATGACGTTTCTTTTTACAGAAAAAGCAACGAAATTCGTCCAATATGTATTGTTAATGTTCAAAAATATTTTGAAAATGCGAAAACAATTCAAGAACAACAAAAACGAATCAAACATTAAATAAAATATGTTTCAACAGTAAACAATTGTGCAAATATTGCTTTGCCTTGAATAATATTCTCAAGAGAAAAAAAGAATTTTTGAAAAAGATAAATCTCTTTGAAAGTCGAAGACTAAAAATTTTGCTTATAATACGAATTGTTTTAGTTTTAAATAAAAAGTTTCATAACAAGTCATTCGATCATAAGGAGTCGATATTTTAACTTGTTAAGATTATGCAGAAAGAACATATTGAATGGTCATGAAATATATAAAGATTAGTCTCGTGAAAATCGACTAAGAACATAAGCGAAATTTCGAAAACTTCTCACAGATACCGACGTACGAAGGTCAGCAAACCTTTTATGAACTTAAAAATCAAATTTTTTAATTAGAAGTTCGGATTTTTCTCAGGACTCGTTTTCATCATACAAGATCGAGTGGCCAATTTAATGACTGGCAAATATTACTTTTGACGAGATATTGACATCAGAAAACAGTGATAATGCTCATTTTGTAGATTTCAAATTAAAAAAAAACAAGGAATGATTTTCTTAGTTTTGATCTGAAATTTAGATTTAAACAGTACAAGTCTGATGAATACAATTAATTGTAAATCATAGACTATCACGATATATATGTGTAGTAAGTGAATATGTTATTATCTAGAAATTTACGTTTGAGACATGTCAAGTTTATCAAAAATGATGATACGATCGTATTATAGGTGTAAAATATCAAATCGAAACATTTCCAAGTGAACTTACAATAGAGTTTATTACACACTCGAATCTGATTTCCTTTAAAATTTATTTGAACCAGTAGGATATTCATGAGATTGACTCAATTAGGACAAAATGAGATCTTGACAATTATGCATATACTAAATATCTTCCTACGTTGATTTTGTATCCAATATGAAAATTTTTTAAAAAAATTCAAAAGATAAAGATAGCAAACATCTTCAAAAATAACTTTTCCTAAGTCCAGCATCATCAGTAAACTTCGCGCAACACCGTGAAAAAAAAGCATCAAAATTCCGATAAATAATACTGTATTCAAAAGTAGACAACAAGAGCTATCCAACCACAGAAAATTCTCATTTTTTTGATGGAAGCTGACTTAAAATGACTGTATTTTCTGCAAAAAAAACGATTGATACAGTAGAAGTTACTGTTTTCTAGGCATGCCAATGTGTTCTATAATCTGGATAGATCAAGCAAAGAATTCTTCACGAAAAGGTTGCTTCTCTAGAAAATCGGTTTTCTATAAAACAAACATATAAAGATCTAAAGGGATTTTTTTATAGTCATATTCAGAGATTATTGTCAATGTAACTATTTGTTAGATCAGAATATAAATGCAAAACGATTAATAGAAGTAAATACATTCTTTACTGATTTTAATCGAATGCGCTAGTTTATTGTTAACAACGGATGATACTTTAGAAAACAAGACTGGAACCAGTCGTGCTGTTCAACGACTTCCTGTAGCAACAGACTAATCAGTTGACAATCGTTTTTATTTTGATTGTATTTTTTAGCCGTTCGCTATTTTCAATCTTGATTTCACAATTCATTTCAGATTATTTTTTAAATAATTTCTTTTTATTCAAAAAAATTTTTGAATTACAACAATATCTTGGTTAACTTAGTGTGAAAAGCTTAGTTATAAAAACAAAAGTTAGTAGTAAGTATTGATGAATATTAATCGTAAGTGAAAAAAAATTCGTATTGCGGAAGTCAGAAAAAATAAATTTTTCATATCATTTAAGGAAACTTATTTTAGTTAAAAGGAGAATTTCTTCCAAGAAGTGTTGCTAGAACTGCTGGCAGTTGTGCAACAAAAGCTGCATCATCGTTTAGATTTGCTAGATTGACCTCGTTGTCCATCATACCATCACCATCAATACTCGAACAATTTGTTATAGCGTAATTCAAACGCTCATACATTATATCAGTCGTTGAATATTCAGGTAAATCAAGAGTAAAGAAACATGTGTGTGCTCCTAAAAAAATTCAAAAAAACAAGAAGATAAATCTACGAACAGATGTCTCTTACATTGCACTGCAGTCTAATGATTAAGAGAAAATATTGAATTCAAAACATAACCACGCTCGTTTCAAGTCGCAACAATACAAGAAAAAAACTTGCGTTCTGTACAGCTTTCAAATAGGTTTGGGTTTTGACCTCAGAATTTCTAGTCAATTAATTTTAATTGCAGACTTTTTCTCGAACAAACAAAAAGATAAAGCCACTTTAGCTTTAATTAAAAGTTATTACGTTAAGATTTTCATTGTCTTTCAAAACAATTGATGAAAGTCTTATATTTCTGAAATCTAATAATTGACATAAATTTCAAGTTCAATTAGTTGATAGTTGAGGATAAATCGATATGTGGACAAACAAATCTACAATTCACATTTGTTCAAATTAGAAAAATCTCTCAAGCTTTTCCAACACATACATAACAATTGCTATGTGAAATTATGAGATACAAATGCAACTTACTTGGAAGCATTTGATCTGTTTCATGATTATTATCAGGAAAAATTGTTTGTATTATAAATTTTGATGTAAAATCTTTATCTTGTCTTGGCAAAGTACTTCTTCCCCAAACGAATCTGAGAAATAATTTCCTTTGTGCTTCATCGAACATTTCATTAAGAACAGTCCAAAAGCGTTGAATATGTGGTGAATTTTCATTATAATCACTAAGATAAATTGTATTTCGTTTTAATAGTAACACGTCAATTTCACCTTTTCCACATACAGCTTCTTCAAGTTCATTAGCTGTAAACAATGTTAAAAAATCATATGGAATAATACTACATAAACCTTGTCGAATGTATTCAATTGGTCGATGAAATTCATTCAATCGATATTCACGATAACGTATACAATATTCTGCAAAATTTTTTGGAGTAACAGGAATATCTTGACCATCAGGAATAAGTTCATAAGTTTGTCCAGATGAACTAATAACATCAAATCGAAGTTCACTCATAATACTAGTACATAAATAATTAATATCACTATCGAGTGATTGATTCTGTTCAATATTAATTTCCATTTCTTTAATAATTGCAAAACTTTGTATATCAATTGCTTCAATATCTTTCATAGTTATTTCTTCACCTACTAACTGTTTCCATAATAAATGTGGAAATTTTATATTTAAATAATGTTTCTTACGAATAGCCATACCCATCAATTGTCCAATAAATTGATATTGCTTTTTAAATTTATTTGAAATTGGTTTATTTGGTGGAAAAACATTTGGAATCCAACAATCACGATTTAATCCATTATTCATTTGTCCATTTGGACATAAAATAAACAATGGTAAACGTGTACTACATATATCCGAACAAATAGCTGTTATTGAATCACGATAAGGTCCACCTTGATCAATACTATGCATTTCAAGATATGTTGCTCGCCATAACTGTTCATTCTTTAGTCGAAATATATCATGAGCATTTTCATATAACTGTTCAAATGCTTGATTGAACATTGTATTCTTTCCTTCATTATCATGAATACTAGCTTTAATTGTATCAAATTTGACTTCAGGTAGTTCAGAAATAGATTCATATGCAGTTTTTAATAATGACTCTTCGAGCCATGCAAATTTTCTTTTTTGCAATAAATAATTTTTAACCATTCTAATATAATCTACTAGAATACTTTGACCTGGTAATAAACTAAAATCAAGTGTTGATATAGTTTTTTCGATAAATATATTGAATTGATAGAAAAGTGTAGCCCGAATCTGTATATATTTACGTGGTATATTTAATAGTAATGGATAATTTTTATAGAATGCTTGATAAGATGTTGATTCGTTCGGTAAAGCAGAGATGAATGTATTAAATGAATCATGCATTGATGGATGTTCATTCATCAAACTAATCAGCTGTAGATCAGCAAATACATCAAAAAATGTATTTGAAATTTGAACATCATCGTCAGTAATTTTGAGATTTTGACCTAAAATATTATAGGATTGTTCCAAAAATTGTTTCAGATATTGTTGCTGTTTATTTTTATCAATTAAAGCATTGATAATATCGATAGCTGTTAATAGATGACGAAATTTTTCTGGAAATTCAGGCAATTTCAATTTGTTATCTTGTTGTTCTATTGTGATACTATTCTGAGAATATTGTTTTTGTAAAAGGAGAAATGTTAAATCCATGACAACAGTTTGTAATGTTCGTGTTATTGGACTGACCATTGATGTAGTAGATAATGATAGTTCAATCAATAAATGAAATATGAAATTTTGTGATCGTACATTTAAATTGATAGTTTTACTTGCTCGAATTAAACTAGAAAATAGAAGAAATAAAGTTGTTGTTTTTGTTTTTTTTTGTAAAAAGATAAATTTCGTGGTCTAAAAAGTCCCTTCGAAAAACAAAATTGTCGAAATGTCTATCATGATCTGTAGTGTTATGATTTTATTCATGGTAGACTTTGGAATATTTTTCTTTCTTGGTAGATGTAAAAATCATAAGCATTTATCAATATAGATAGAGCGATAACAGAAAAATTTCATAATGATATGTCCTTCTATACAATGTTCAATTATTGCTACTTATTTTCTTATGATATATTTCTATGCTCACGTCAGCGCGCTATAAACGTCTCGTGTAGTACTTTTAATCAGTGATTACAGTGAAAGAAATCAAGATTTTATACCGGAAATTGTCAATATTCGTGTTTTTTTTGTGGAATAAAAGTAGTACGAAAAATACGATTTACAGAAAAAAACAAATCTTCTGAACTATCCAAAAATCTCCTTATTCGAAGTGAAAGTTTTCGATGAGTAGATAATTTTTCAATTTTCTCATATGAAAGTTACAAAACATAGTTCTAAATTTGCATGACAAGCTGAACAACAATATTCAAATTGAAACACTATTTTAAAATATATTGACACTATTTGGTCGTGCTTTTTTCTCTATTCCTTGAATAGAGATTGTTTGTTTTTTTTATAGACTATATACTGTGAGTTTTTTGTGCAAATTAACAAAATTATATTTTCTTTTGATGTTGTTTTTTTTTAAACATATGATTTGATAGATTTGTAATCAATTGAATACAAATTGTAAATGCTTCTACTTACGTAACAAATAGACGAAGAATAAATATTTTCGATTGATAGTCTGGAAGTAATAAAAATAAATCAAACATTAGATTAATGAATGATACTCGAAAAAGAAGTGGAAGAAATATATCGATTTCGTTTTGTTTCATAGATTTGTCTGTTGCTAATTTAACAAAGAGATTTAATATTTTGAAAATGAAATTCATATTTGGTTGTTGAATCATAATTTCTTCATCAATAATCGATGATTCGTTATTGTGTAACTCATATAATAATAATGAAGGTTTTAATACGAAACGAATCAATTGAATAAAAATATCTTTTTGTAATTCATAAAGTAGTGGAGCATGACTTTGTAATATTTTGATGGTAATTTCTTTGTTAATAGTTATTTGTTTAATTAATTCTTTCACTTCAAATTGAAGAATTGAATGAATTAATACAGTTATTCTATCAATATTTTCATCTACATACGTGCTTCTATATGTATAATGATAATCTAATAATCGTAATAATTTTACAATAAATGGATAATCACCAAGTTTTTCTACAGGAAATAAATTTGAATCATTATTTGACCATACTTTTAACATATTTAAAATAGTATTACGAGCATAGATCGATATCAATCCATGTTCACAAGCAAAACGTGAATCTAAATATTGTTTTCGTGATATTTGTTGATGAGAGTATTGAATTGATTTATGAATTATTTTTCGTCGATCTAATATTTCAGTTGTAAATTGTTGTTCAGATTTTTCTAAATCAAATAATTGATATATATCATCTAAATTTCTTTTCAATGTTTTATCATTCATCCATCCGAATATACTATTAGGTATATCTAAACCATGAACAGCTTGTTGATACCATTGTACTTCTTTATTCTCATCCGATGCATTGGCATCCATATTTTCTATACTAATTGAATGATTTAAAGATTTTGATGTTGCTATCAAATTTTCCTGATCACATATAAATTCACCTATGGCTGTTATTTCTTGATCATTATCGAGTTTGGAAATATTTTCTAGTTCAATCAATGGATATAATCTTGACAAAACGGTTAAATGATGTTTTCGTTGATTGTCATGATGTGTTTTTAAAAATTTGTTTTTATTTTCGCGTATAATTGTGTCAATTAATTGACTATTTGTAGTATTATACTCTTTTATTGCTAATTTTATCCATTCGTCTTTGTAACCAATGGCAATTAAATTTGATACAATCAATGAAAATGGTAGTGCAACTAATGATACTAATGAATAGTTTGATGATTTCATTTGTTTGTTAATCCATTCAGATTCTATTAATCGATTTAGAAATGTAATCGATTTACATTCAATTCGAACAATATCATCATTTGTAGTATTCATTAATAAATCTATTTCTTGAAATAAATGAATTCGATTAGTTTTTAATAGAAATTGATCATTATCAATATTGGAACGTATCTGTAATATTCCATTTAGATAAATTTCAATATATTTCTTTTGAACAATAATAAGTAAACGCATATATTCATTTAATTTCAATATGATTTTACTTTGATTTACTTTTCCATCATTAAATAGACAAATTTTACCACTATGTGTGATATAAATTCCGGATTCTGAATTCATTGAGAAAATTGTTAAATGTTCATTTAATGCCGGAAAATTAGGTATAGAAATATCAAGAATCAATGTATATTCAGACCATTGTTCAATAGATTTTGAAAGAACGAGATAAGTATTATTACCAAATAATTGTATAGTTGATTCATCAGTTTCATCAATAGTTTTAAAATATTTTGATTCATCAATATCAACTTGTTTTTTCTTTTTTTCCCATAGATTTTCTTCAAATGATTCATTAAATGGAAGAAGTAATTCATTTTCAAATTGTTGTTGATTTTTACTAAATTTAAATGTATTTATTTGTTGTCGATATTCATTTAATTGTTTATAATCAACTGCTACATAAGATAGACTATAGGTAAACAGACGTCGAATATATTCTTCAGAGAGTGCATATTTCCAAATACTTAAATTTTTTATTCTAGCATTCATATTTGGTAAAATATGAAAATTAAAATTTGTCATTGTTTGTATTTCAACATTAGTAGTATTTATTATTTGACATAGATTATTCAAATAAATTTTAATTTTTTGTTCTTCTAAACAAATTACAATAGCAGTTCGTATTGATTTTTCAATCATATTCAATGGTATTTGTACGGAAAATATTTCAGTTGTTTCTAATGTAAATAATTGAATATCAAATTGTTCATCTGTATGATTTGAAGTTCTATTTAAAATTTCAAAATCAAAGCTGATAGTTAATGATGATCGATCATTAACTATTGATAAAGGAAATCCACTATTATTTTCTGGTAAAAGTAATTGATAATCATCAAGAGTGTATGAAGTATAAAGATGATATTCATTAATCAAATCACATAGAACATTGGTTGAATTTATATTTTGTCTTTTATGAACATAATTTTGTATATCATCATAATTAATTAAATAGGCTCTGTATGGATAAGGAACAATAGAATTTTCAATATTAATTAATTTTGGTACTAATAATGGTTTATATCCATTTGGTAATGGACATTTTGTCATATCTTCTGGACTAAATATGAATTCAATACAACCTAAATTTAGAAAAGATACATTTAAGGAAACAGCAGGAAAATAGGATGTTGGGTGTGCATGTCCATGTGGTAACATATTACATTTTGTTGTTGATGTTCCAATATTTGCTTGATGTTCAAAAAGTGTACCTAAAAATTTTCCATTTAACCAATATTTGATTCGAATATTTTCACTATCAATTTCGATTCCACATCCACAAATATCATCTTTTTTCCAACGAATTTCTTCAGATGAAAATTGAAATTCATCATCGTTATAGAGAGTACCACGTGATCCATCATACGACCATGAATATTTATCATCACCTACACCACGACCATTATAACAACCAGTCGTGAATCCTGTTGTTGCCCAACCAATTTGAACAGTGCCACCAATTGGTAATCGAACACAATAATACCATTTACCTTCCGTCAATTGTAGATCATCAACGATAACTGTTGGAAATATTCCTGTTAAACGACCAGTAGTTAAATAAAGTCCTCCTTGGAATTTATGCTTATCACCACACTCTTTCAATATACTAGGATCGATAATATTACGTGGCAAAGAAACAATTGATATTTCTTTATCTCCAATTCGACCTTTTTCAAATAATTCAATTTCTGATTTCGATGCATAAGGCTTCCATCCATTATATTTCAATGCACTTATTGATAAAGCATTCATAATCAATGGATTTGGATTAAATTCATCATGATTCCAAATAGTAAATGATGTCTCATCTAGATTTTGCATGATTATTGTATTTTTAGTAGTTTCATTATTACTATTACTACTAGTGTAATTATCATTTTCTATTTCTATAATTTGTTGAGATTGTACACAAGTATCTAAACTTAAACAATATTGTTCTAAATGTTGTTGATTGAATAAACGTAAATCAACAGGTAATGAATGATTTTTAAATAAAGAATCATACATTGATAATTTAGCGATTACTGATACGTATGATTTTTCCATGAATATTTCGACAAGTTTTTTATCATTTAATAGATAACTTAAAGCTGATATTGAACGACGTTTTAATTCTAATAATATTAAAGATTCTGTTGTTGATGTATCAACTTGTATTACATAACCTAATGCATCAAATAATGAATGTATCATAACATTTGAATCATTGATATTTGTCGATATAAATAGATTTGATGGCAAAACATCGATTTGTATTCGTAATTTTTCAGCTGCAATCCATTCAGTTTTATTAGTTTGTAAATATTGAATAAAATATGGCAAAATTTCAGACGAGTCCGAATTTCGATCATTTGTATTAATATCAATAATTAATGCTAAATCAAATTCATTGCTTTCTTCATTAGGATAAACGTTGACAATAGAACCTAAACAGTATGGTGAAATATATCCGCCTAAAATAGATAATGATGCAAAAACAAGATTCATATCAATTGTGTCAATAATTTTCCATGATTTCATATTAATCTCGTTTATACATGATACAATACTATTGAAAATACATTGTATTGCTATCATTTGCCATGGTGATTTTATAGATATTATTGTACGATAAATATTTATTAATTCGCTAATTATTTCTAATGTCATATTCTGTTTAGTAAAATTATTACCAATTGATAATAAAAGTTCATCTAATAGATTTTTCATAATAATAATTGTTGTTTCATTTTCTGGTAGTAATAGAATTATATTGTGTAAAATTTTTAAAGAAAGTAATATTGTAACATGATTTTTACTACTATGATATATATATAATAATTCTTTAATATAATCAATATTTGCACAAATCAATCGAACATTATCATATAAATAAATACATCGAAGCATAAGTACTAATAATTGATTTGTATAAAGTTCAATGTCAAAATTCGATGATAATTTATTTGAATAAATTGATGTATCATTTTCAATCGTTGTTGCTGCTTTAATAAACCAATTGATTGCAGCATGATTTAACGAATATTTTCTATTTTCTATTGAATTATCAATTTCATTATTGACATCAATTGATAATGATTGTTTTAATTTTTTCAATAATTTCAATTCGTTTAAAATAAGTATATTAAATAGAAATTGTTGCTGTTGTTCTAGTATTTTATTAGATATACTCTTACTTTTATTTAATTCAATATTTTCACATAATTTAAATACATAAAAACGAAACCAATTATATATAGTTAATTTTATATCCAATGAAATGATATGATTCGATTCTTTAGTCAAACTAATAAATGATACAAATAATGTTTCAATAAATTGATTTTGATTTAAATAGATAATATCAATAGATTCATAAGATAGATTAAGTAAATTAAATATGTTTTGTATTAATAGTTTTGGTTTTAGTATTACTAATTGTAAAATAAAAGAGAAAATAGTTTTAATAATTGTATAATATGTATTACTAATTTGTTCTTTAACATGATTATTTGTTGCTTGAATATTTTCCAAATAGGACCATTCCAAATCAGAATTTCTTAAATGAGGTAGATAAAGATTTAAAATTGTTATAACAAAATTTTGATCATTGATTTCTAGTAGATTTTGAATAAATTTATAAATAAATCGATATGTAATTAATCGTGTTATTGCTCGTTCATAATATCGAGACATACATTGAGAAAGTTCGTTCAATTCTAAGTTCTTTTCTTCATTCATTATCGATGTTGTACTTTTGTAAAAATCACCATAAACAAAAGCATCAATTAACCGATTTAAATTATTTTCAATACTATGTATTTCTTTAGTTTGTTTTTTAGCTAAAATCAATTTTTTAAATCGTATACATGCTTGAATTGTATTACGAAGTAATCGAAGAACATATTTAGCTTTTGACCATCGTGAAATTTGTCGTTGAAATGATACTCGTTTTCTTGGTTGTGTATTTATTAGAATTGGTAATGATGATAAATCTTCATCTTCTTCAATGATTGGCATTAAATTTGTTTCTTTAACATGTAAAAGTAGAAATTGTGTATTCATTTTAATTTGTTTATAAAGTTCATCCAAATTGCCACCTTGTGCTTTTGTTGTAGCAAATAAAATTTTAACATCATTTGCACATTCATAAATTGATAATAGTTTATTATGAGGTTTTTTATCATTCATTCGTGTTAATTCTCTTTTAGCAAGATTAATTCGACGATAATGTTTAATATAGACAGCAAATAAAGCGGCACATGCATCATCTGCTTGTTGTTTGATTGACATCAATAAATGTTGTCTATCTCCGACATGTTCTTTCATTTTTGATATTAATCGTGCACCTTCATCAGTATTATTATAAACTGACATTAAAAATTCATCATCCGAAGACAATGATGATTGTTGCATTTCATTATCCAATTTAAATTGACTATAAATAGCAAGATTTGATTTGTATAAATCGAATAGATATTGATTTTTTTCAATTATTATTTGTTCACAACCACCAGAAAATAGAGGTGATTTCAATTTATCAATATATTTCAATTCTGATGAATTCTGTTCCGAACCAATAATCATTACATTACTCATTTTACCTATTAGCCAACATATGGAATACAAATTATTTTTTTCATGTTCATGATTGATAGTATTCTTCAATAGATATTCTACCAATATTGGCAACAGTGCCGTGATTATCGGTTGAATTGTGTTAAAATTAAAAATATTTTCTGTTTTTATCATTAAACACAAACCAACAAATATAGAATTCAATAAATCATTATCGGTACACATATTTAATATATAAGTGAGGTAATTAATTACAAACGATATAGAATCATGAGAAATAGAAAATTCACGTAATTCATTTTGAGTTCTATCATCATTTAGAATAGTTTCAATTCGAGATGGTGATATTAATCGAATTAATAAAAGTTCTTGAAACATAAATAATATTTGTTTGATTTGTTCCTTGTGTTTTGGATCTATATTATTCGATGAATTGAGACAAATATCAACGAATGAAAACAATATGGTTGATGCTACTGTTTTCTCAGACTTGTTTGTATTTTCGTTGATTAATATTTCGATCCAGCTTAATAAGATTATATTTTTCTTCAGTTCTAGAAATATTTGTTCAATCAACAGAGGATATTTATTTTCAATAACAGATGTATGAAAAAATGATAATTTGTCGATAAATGATGATACTGTTTTATCGATGATATAAATCAGAGCTTTAGATGCTTCTCGACAAATTGTTATTTGTTCTAAATTTTCATTGTCATTGCAAATTAATTTTAATAATAAATCAAACCATAGTTTGAATTTATTGTCGCTTGTAAACCTTGATAAATCGATATTACACTTTGGTTTGTTAGAAGAAGTTTTAACAGTTTTTTCCCACTCATTACTTGTTAAAACTAAATCTCTGTCAAGAGTTGGTGTTACAGTACATAAAAATTTCAAATGTGTGGTGAATAATCGTAAACAAACAGTTAGAATATGACGAATAACTATACTTGAATCCTTTGTTTTGGTTATTGTCAATTGTTCGATAATATGAAACAATTGTTCGAATGTATCCATATGAAATTCGAATGAAATTGAACTATCGATTGAACCCTGCTTGAATTGTTCTATTGAATGAGTTCCATTATAAAAATCAATGTGTGACAAAATAACAGATGCAACAAATGGTCCAGTAAATTCTTTTTCATTCAATCGAATTAGTCGTGAATTTGGAAATGCGCCCACTATTTTCAAGTAGTCTAAAGAAAAATAGATTATAATATTTTGTCTAGAAATTTTTCTTTCACTGAACAAACGCTTGACCCGACCAACATTTTTTAGTTACAATCAGATTACCGTCAAAAATGTCACGAGATGTGGAAAATGATAAATAAACTTGTATTCTACCAGAACGGTGTTGGTTTACTTTTCCCATTTGGGTGAAACTTAAAACCGCTTACGAAAAACTTTTTTGAGGATAATGACTTTTTTTTCTGTGAAACAATATCTTCAGTATGACATGTATAACAATGAAGAAGATATCCTGCATTATTCGTACCGTTGGTTCAAGTGTGTAACTATTCCTAAGACGTCTATGTTATGCGAATGTCGATACACTTAGCATGCGCCAGCCCTCATGATTCAGGAAAAATCACGGTTACTATTTGTTTGGGTGAACTGTCTAAAGGGCAAGAGTTGTGGGATTTTTATCGATCGCATTTTTCATCTACTTTTACAGCTTAAGAAAGCTGATGAAAACTTGGATTTTTACGAAACATTTTTCGTAGGCGGTATTGTTTTCACCAGTTCTTTTGCTGATATCTCTCGAGTTTTTCAAATATTTTCACCTTAAAAATGTTCAACTCGAGCATTTCTGCTGTAAAATTAATTATCAGAACAAAATTCGGTGGCTCAGTTTCATATTCAGCAGCAACCACAGTACAAACAATAACTAACCAATGCTTTATTAATTGCTATATACAAGATAAGATCTTGCAAACTTATACCGGTTTTTTGGTGGTGCAAAGCTTGTTTCAATCAGTCTACTTCACATAGACACTATCGTGCGTCAATGATCGTAACTCGTCTGGAATTGCAGACCTTCTAATGAAAAATTTCGAATATTCTCATTCCTTATCTGAAATGCTCCTGTTTTATAAAACACGATCGTAAATGAGTGTTGAAGTATATAGTCAGAAAAATGATCTTCCACCTGCCTTATAGACATGCAACAGATAGAGAGTACATTTTAATTCTAGGCATGATTTTTCTGGAAAACTCAGGGTTTCTCTAGCATTGACGACTAATTAGAAAATTCCTTGCCCTCATCTGAAGGACTATCTTTGTGTCTATTGACGGCAAAAAAAATACAGCTCTCTAGATTTTATTTTATATAAAACAATTACTTTGATCAAACCTCCGAGTCTTAATACACTCTATATGTACAGTGAGCTATATGCGTTAATTTTCTCTTTTCTACTAATCTCTCATTCAATTGATATATAATGGTGTGATTCTTATTTATTTCTATTTTTTTTCGCTAAAAATTTTTTCTTCGATATCTTGAGTGCGGGTGTGGCGAAAACGAAAGACCTCCATCCACACCCAAAATGGCGGAGAAATCTGGGATGCATGGAAACGTGAAAATCAGTTTCTTAGAAAAAATGTTATTTTTCTGTGTGAGGATTTAGAAAAACCTATGTAATGTCCTTAGATCTTATCATAAAATCAGTAAACTACAGTGTACTCGAGAGTACAAACTTTGTCCTACCTAACGAGCTATAAATCACAAAATCGATAAATTTGACCGAAATTGACATTTTCTGAGCGAAGGCGCTTAACTACGCAGGAATTGCATTGATAGCTTTTGCAAAATCGAGAAAATTGGTAGTCGACATTACGCAATAGATCAACAGGCATAAGTACAACAGTTCTAATAGAATTATACTCTTACCTATTGTCTCATTCGATGTTATGTCATCATATGTGTCTTGTGCAAATTTATCATCATTGGAATCATGGTTTTGTTGTTGCTTTTTCTTTTCCATTTTATTAAGAGCTTTGGTCAAAACATGATTCAATCGAATGAATAAACGTCGAACATCGTAAACATTAGCTTTATTGAATATCAATTTTCCTAGAATCGGTAGAATGTCTTTAAATGATGCTTTTGCAATGGAAAAGCTCAACAGAATTTTCATAGCTTTATTTGCCATCATGACATTTTTCGATAATGATAATTCATTTATATAACTTGTCAATGGTTTCAATGATTCGAGCCAATGATTGTCAATAATTGGTGATAATTCGGACGATTTGAAAGAGTTTATTGGAATTTGATCACACAATTGAATTGCCAATGTTAATAGTTCTTGAACAATTGTTGGATCATTTTTTTCTGCTGATTTAATTAAAATTATCAATAAGGATGTTAATGATTGTATGGAAAAACAAGATACTTGTTGAGAATGAAATTTGGCTTGTTCAATTTCTTGTTTGTCAACATTAGATTCATGTGTATTGTCATTGTCGATTGTATCATCGATGTTACATGCATCTATATCCTCGGAAAAAGTATCGTGAAACGATTCGGCAGACATAGACTCATCAATATTTTCATTTTCTTTCAGTTTTTGTTTCAAAAATATATTTAACGCTAGTTGTTCTTGTTGTTTCACAATACCTATAATTTCTTCGATGGTTTCTCTGCAACGAACAGAAATCGATGGAAAAACATCTGTCATAAGTATTTCGTTGATATCAGAATTAATTTTCATCATATCAGCTTTATGTGTTAGTAGAGATAGATCCTTTTGAATTTTTTTGATTAATTGAATGTGAGTACTCGCAATTTGATCAAATCCAATTGAACCTGTTGTCATGTCATCAAGATTTTTGATCCATGAAAATAAATAAATATTTTCATCGCCACTGCGCGATGCGATCGTATCATAATTAAATTCTGTATCATCTGTATTAGTCGCATCAAAAGCTTTTAAATTAATATTCGATAATTGTTGACCCATTGTCGTATACAGCTTGTAAAAAATACCATTCAAAGTTAGAAATTTCAATTGATTATCAATATATTATTTCAATACTATTGATAGAAATTCTAAAATACAAATATATAGACTCACTTTAATACAATCACATATCCACTATCAAGACTTATCTTGTATGAGTACCTAGTGGAAAATTTTAGCGATTATAAACGATTAAAATTTCAAAATTCTACGGAACTAGTCAAAATTAATAACCTGATTATAATGGATTATAATTGAGATTTGGTTCCGCAATAGTCATGGTGAAAATTCTCATATAATTGACTTCAGTATGAGTTTGATCAATTTTTTATACTGTTCTACTGGTTTGTAAATGATAAGATGAAACATAATTAAATGGAGACATTTCCCATCCAAAAAGAATCACGAAAAAAAATCGATATTTGTATTACCTCTTAAATAATTCTAATTTATTCTTACATTTTAATCGACTTTAATCATACACATTAAAGATATGCGCTTTTCTCGATATTCAAACACGAAACCTTAATTTTTCTTTATGATATTTTTGGATCGCTCGTGTTCAGAAACCATGAAGTTGCCACTAAGTTAAACTCCAGCAATTGAAGTAAGTTTGGAACTGATATATAAATTGTTTGAAACTGAGATGGTGCAATTACATCAGAAATCGATTAAAATTTATTAAAATCTTTTAATCGATTTTAATCGATTATATTATTATTTAAGCCTTGTTCCACATAAGAATACTCAATAAGTGTAGATCTTTTTATAAAAGGTCCTGTCCTCAAATTTATCATGTAGGTCTTGCCATTTCTAAAAATTGACTAAATTAAACGAACTGCTTGAGTCGATATGAATCAATTACATAGATATTTTCAATTTTTTCTACATAGAGCTTCTGTATATATAAAGCACTTCTGTAATTGCTATCCTCACACATTGCACTCATCTCATGTTTATCTTCTACTTACGAAAATAATCAGATTTACTTCATTACTAATTTCGAAAATCGATCACACGTGATCCATGTTTTCTATTAATTTTCAGCTGATAAAAATCAGATCACAACTGAGATAACTGTTATTAATCGATTAAAAGTCTATAAAGTTAATTTTTATCGTTCAATATTTTAACCCATTGACAAGATTAAAATCGATTTGTAATCAAAATCGGATTATAATTTTGACATAATCGTTAGCAATCAATTAGAAATCTATCAATTCCGTTTTTGTCGAATGAGATTTTAATCGATTAAAAAAATTAGAGTCGATTTTATGATTACAATCGAATTACAACATGTATAATCTTTAGTAATCGAATTGAAATCCCCATGCCGCTAACTGCAATGCAATTGCACTGCGCTCTGTAATTGCAAAAAATTGTGACAGAGCTACGCGCAATTACGAAAAAAAAACGACGCAGTTGCGTGTAGTTGCGATGAAAAAGTCGCACTTACGCGTAACTGCGTCGCAATTTTTCGCAATTACGGGTCATAGTACCATGGGCGGCGCAGAGTTTTTGGATACGCTGAATCTCAGTTTCAGAGCATGGGATCCAGATGAAATTTATGGAGGGTGATATTGAGCCTAAATGCTGAGTTTTATTCAAAAAATTTTTGCGATCGAAGTTTGCGAAAAAATTTTTAAAAATCTTATTGCTACCCCTAATAATTTTTTTGCTTTTTTGTAGTATTCCATTTTTTAAAATTCAATCGTAATCTACATCGAATTTCATCGACAGATTTCAAATTTCACCTAAAAATATGCATCCGTTTAGGAGTTATAACATTTTGAATTTTTGTGAAAATTGTCGAGCCATCTCTCAAAGATTCAAAATGTTATAACTCCTAAACGGATGCATATTTTTAGGTGAAATTTGAAATCTGTCGATGAAATTCGATGTAGATTACGATTGGATTTAAAAAAATGGAATACTACAAAAAAGCAAAAAAATTATTAGGGGTAGCAATAAGATTCTTAAAAATTTTTTCGCAAACTTCGATCGCAAAAATTTTTTGAATAAAACTCAGTATTTAGGCTCAATATCACCCTCCATGAGTTTCATCTGGGTCCCATGCTCTGAAACGGAGATACAACATATCCAAAAAATCCTGCGCCGCCTATGCATAGTACGATCGCAGTTACGGTGTAACTGCGTTGCAATCGAAAACATGAGTCATTGATTCAATTTTGGTTGATTGAGATTTCAATCGATCAAAAAATTAAAATCTGTTTTGAATTAAAATCGGATTATAAGTAAAAAGTGAAGAAAATCGAGTGTTTAGATTATTTTTCCAATAGATTTTAGGATTATAATCGATTTCAATTCAATTATGGTGCAAAAAGTGGATGATTGTGAGAATAACTGAGATTTATCTACTGATAATCGAAAATAATCTTGATTTTAAGCAGTAACGTCAAACTTGAAACTTGAATTCAATTGAGTTTTCAAGTTTCAAGTGTAAAGTTTAAATGCTTCCTGGAATGCTGCAACTATTCTCTCAGATGCTAGAGGTATTACCTGGAATGCTACAGATATCACCTGGGATGTTACAGATGTTACCTACGATGCTGCAGGTATCCCATATGATGTCAGAGATATTACCTGGGCTCCTGGAGATACTATCTAGAGGGCTACAGATGTTACCCAGGATGCTACAAGTATCCAATGGAATGCTACAGATGATGCCGAGGATGCCGCAGGTACTACCTGGAATCTCATAAGTATTACATGGGACGCTACAGGAAGTGCCTGACATGCTTGAGTGTAAGGACAAGGTAGCATCTGCAACCGAACGCGTTCCATGGTCAAGTAGCTCCAGAAAAAATGTAGCTAGCATTGCCCAAACATGACACACTTCGATTACTGTGTACACAGAGACGCATATGGGTCGCGACTCTTCGGGGAGCGATTCGTGCCTCCACGCCGCGACGCTGATATAAAAGGTCAGTTAGACGGGGAAAAGCGCTTAGCCTCCAGTGAATATTCATGGAATTACTGAATAGTTCAATTCAACTTTCAGGTTTGACACGTATGGCGTTGGCAGAGGCGCTGTGTGAGTCCCTTCACGGTACCCACACTGAGAGAGACATGATGTGAGCGTGAGTCGTTCCTCTCGGAACTCGCTTCGCAGCATCCACACCAGCTGCGATGATGTATGTGTGAGTTTGTGTATGAGTCCTTCCTCTCGGAACTCTTAGGGACTTGAAAGTTGAAAATTGAAAAATCACTTGAAACTTGAAAACTCAGCTCAATTCAAGTTTCAAGTTTTACATATATGATTTTGATAGGAATATTTTTCATTGGATAAGGATGAGGGTGTAGTTAAAGATGCTGATAAAGAAGCACTTTCACCCATACTTTATCTCAAACTTCTTCCTGGTGGAAACTTTTATCTTTGGATCTATAGCATTTTCAATGCTGTTTCATTTAAAACCATTCGCGTCCATTTTCGGATAGGATGACACCCGGTGTGAGCTTCACCAAATGAGTCAAAATAACTTAATCTCAATAGCTTTGTTTGCAACAGTTACAGACCTGTGGCTTTGGCCAATAAATGTAACGCAGCTCGCTTAACAAAACCCATTCTATCGCCACACTGGCGTCGACACTTTTGTATATGTTGGTGTGTCTCTAGTGAATGCATCCATATGAGAGACTGTTGGAGCAAAATGAAGTAGTAAGCGATGTTCTGTATGAGCGAAATTGTGTGGAAAATGATCTTTTCTGATAAATTTCCAAGGAATTCTGTTGTTACTACTGCAATGGCCAAAATTTTGAAATTTGTGATCGAAATGTTTGCCTACTTTGAAGGAGATGGTTTTAACAGTGGTGAAGTGCGTCATAAACGTTGACGATGTTTTTTTATTTCTTTTTGCTTTCTGTGAAAAGAAGGAAGATAAGAAATATATAGCTTTTGAGTCGCATGTGATGGTTGTGATGAAATCAACCTGTGCTTCTCATTATGAATGGAGTTGGTTACGGACGGGTGTGGGTGTGGGTGGGTGTGGGTGTGGGTGGGTATGGGTATAGGTGTGGGTATGTATGGAGTGAGGATGTCGTTGAAGAGTATAGCCATACCCACACCCACACTCTAAACACTACTTCCTTTTTATCAGAAGACTCTTTTATAATAAAGTCAAAACATCTTGAACAAGAACTTATACCAGACCAAGTAATACGTGGTTCTCGTTCTGTTTGGTCTAATATCCCAACTGTACCAATTCGCCAACGGCGTCCTTGGAAATTAGGCATGTTTTTAATTGCAGAATAGAATAATTGAAGAGATAGGAACCATGGCTTACGTGCTTTTCCATCACCAGAATGTAATGCTGTATTCAGTAGTACGTACAAGCTCTCTTCGCCCCCTTCATTGGTATACAGACGCAGCGCGACGCGCTCATCGAAAGTTTGTATTATTTACCTTCAGGAAAATGCTTTTCAATGTAGTTGATATACACATTTCAACCACACGTGTGAAATATTATTTGTAGGAGAGTTTGTGTGAATTCGTTGGGAATAATCATTTATTTCTAATTCATCGAGAGGTACAAAGCTTCTCTTTTCCTATTCAACTTACGTTAATCGATGAAACCTAGTGCTTGTCGCCATTCTAAATCGCTCATAACATATAAATTTAAAAAGAAAAAGGATTCAAAATGCTTCTATGAAGTACACTGACGTCCCTCACTTTTGTAAATGTCACTTGCTGTGTTTCAACTTGCAGGATAGAAAGAGAACAACAAATGTATTGTCCAATGTGATAGTTTTTACTGCTTCATAATGTACATGATTGCCTACAGCAACCTACCGACAAGATTTCACCGTCTGTCTATACAATGACGTGATGTATTTTTCTGTTCTTGTAGAAAGAAGAAACAGAATGTGCGGAAAAAAAAGACCAACTCGTATTAGTTGGTGAAACCAGCAACAAATCATAAAAGAACAATTAAAACTTTTGATTGTTCTTGACTTGACTTGTGAAGTTCTCGGAAACTTCCATATTCAGCCCTTTTGCGAAATATCTCTTCGTTTCTTTGATCTGATTCTTGTTCTTACAATACTCTGATGCTTGAATCAGATATTTAATGCTGTTTAAGATTGGTTTCATTCATAGCTGAGTAAATATTTGAACTAAGAGAACTTGAAATTTTGATATTAATATACATATTAGAGTATTAAATCCTACAAAAACTAAAAGTTCTTTCTAGTAATATTGTTTGGCTGTTTGTTTTGACAGAATTACGCCTGATCGAACTTTTTTCTCGACATCATGCTAGTAAAAGTGTACACTATTACAAAGCAGCGCTATTATCAGTGTAGCTAAGTTCCAAAAAAGTACCATCATCAACTATTTCTTGAAAACAACGACTATTTCGTCATTTCGATGATTGAGAACGATGAAATGAATGGTGAGCGTTTCCGGAAGTTTTCTATAAATTCTTCAAACAATATTTTTTCTGCCGTCAATAATAAACAAATTCGACAAGATTTCTAAAGGTCTTTCGTTGACAGGGTGTTGGTGTGGATAGAGAATATGTTTAGTTACAATCATAATCACACTCGCATCCTATGTTAGAATGTATTTTAGTATTTTATTTTATTGTTTGTCCTTCTCTCATCACTCTTTTAACTTTTGTTGTTTTGCTTCTTCGTGCATTGTCATATTTTTTTTCTTAGCATTTGTTTTAATCATCGTTGTAAATAATCCGAATGAGTTCGAGTTTGAGTAAGCTTTGAAAAACTTACGAAAAACCTCTTTTCAACGAAAGAATTCCCAACTTATTCACAAGCTAAACACGACAGTATTATTTAAGTATCGTAGTTTCCAAAAAGTTCTTTCCAAGGTCGAAACAAGTCTGGGTAAGTTGTACTTTGATGAAAACATGGTATCAACTGAAACATTTGATTGACGTTTTTCTTTTAAACCAGTTCTAGGTCTTCGATAGAGTGCAACGCACCCGATAACTTATTATTTTTTATCGAAAAGATTCTTCTTTTTACAGAGTAGAACGAATATTCCAATTAAAGCTGGAAATTTATTTCAAGTTAAAGTATAATGAAACTGAAATTAGACGAATAATGTTTATGAAAATAGTTCTAGACTATTCAAATCAAACATCTTCACTGGCTTCTTTCGATGCTGAATTCTTCATGAATGTAGTCTTCTCCATGCTAGCTTCTGTGCTAACTTCGTTTGGTGCATCATAGAATTCCGAATTATTCAAAAAAGACACATAATGAACTTCAGTAGCCACAAAACTTTTCCATTGTTTAATACAGATGCAGTGGGCTGCTGTTGTTGTTGTTTAATATTTGATTTTCAATATCTGTCCATGATTATGTTAATGGATCGTAAAATTCTACAGTACTTCGAGAACTCCCAAATACATTTCCACCGAAAACTAATACTTTTCCATTTTCTAATAAATTTGCTGTATGATCATATCGTGGACTATGCATGCTACCAGTTTTTGTCCGCAACCCTGTCGGCGGATCATATAATTCTGCACTTTTTAATATAGAATTAGAATCGTATCCGCCAGCAACTAACACTTTTCCATTTGCTAATAGAGTTGCAGTATGCTTATGTCGCTCATGATTCAGGCTGCCAGTGTTCGTCCACAACTCCGTTGATGGATCGTATAATTCTGAACTACGTAAGGAGACAATAATAGATCCACCAGTAATTAAAACTTTTGAGTTTTTTAATACAGTGGCTGTATGCATGTATCGTCAATTATTCATGTTACTTGTGTTTGTCCACATGTCTATTGATGGATCGAATAATTCTGCACTCTCTAAAATGGAGTACACGTCTATATTCCCACCAGCAACTAAAACCTTCCCATTTGATAACAGAGATGCTGTCAAATACTCCCGCCCACTATTCATGTTCCCAGTATTCTTCCACACGCCTGTTAATGGATCATATAACTCTGCACTAGTGTGTAATGAGTAATCGTAACTATGTCCACCAGCAGCTAACACTTTTTCATTTGCTCATATAGTAAAAGCATGACTAGATCGTGCAGTATTCATGCTACCAGTTTTTATCCACAATTCTTTTAATGGATCATATAATTCTGCACTACTTAACAAGTTGTTACTATAATATCCACCAAAAACTAGTACTTTTCCATCTTTTAATGGAATGGCTGTGTGATAGCTTCGTGGACTGTTCATGTTTGCTGTAGTTGTCCACATATATGTGACTGGATCGTAAAGTTCTGTATCGGCGAAAACTGGAGGTTCAAGAGGAACTTGAGCACATAATCCACTCGAAATCAAAACCTTCCCATCTATTAAGACGGATGCCGTGTGTTGAAATCATATAATGTTCATATTGTTTCTGTTGGAACAATTTGGAAAGGCAAACTAATTTAGTATTGCGATTTGTACATGTGACATACACATATTCCCTAGACTGAAAGGCTAGAGTCTAGAAACAGAAATTCACCTATGTCTGTCCGTCTGTCGGTAACGCGGTCAAAATAGCCATTTTTTTGGCACATGTGACCATTTTTTTGGCACAAGTGACCATTTTTTGGCACAAACGGCAATTTTTTACTAAAATTAACTAGGTAACTATGGTACAAATGAGCATGTAACTATGGCACAAACGGTCATTTTTTTGGTACAAACGACAACGTAACTATGGCACAGGTGACCATATAGCAACCATGGTACAAACAACTATTCCGGTAACTTTGGCACAAATGACCATCTAAAGACTGATGTAAATGAATCCATAATAATCATCGGTAAAATGTCCATGAAATAACTATAATTCGGGTAGTGGTGTAAAACGGCTTACAAAACTATTTAAGAGAGAGTCCACCACAGGATCGAGAAACCCCATACTCCCAAAAAAAAAAATTTTTTTTTTACGGATTAAAAACTTTTTGTTTTAGGCTGGTTTTGTAGCTTTTTTATTTGCCCATCCGATGTACGATCCAAATTTCTGGGATCAACTAATCTTGAGAGATAATTTCTCAAAAATACTGATTTTTGCTTGATAACTACGTCGTATCAATTTTGACTTAATCAGTGTGTAGTCATCAGTGTGGTCTGCATAACTTTTTTGTTATATAATCAATCGAGCAAATATTTTGGGTAGAGTAGTTTCACCTCATGGGCTATCGATTCCACAAATAAAATGAGGTGGCCAAAATTTTCGGGAGTATGGACCCTTTAAAAATTCCTCGATGATCTCATGGACGCCCTCTTAATTAGTGAGAGTCAGACCAAATGAGCAGTATGGATTTAAAGAAATCGTTTAAATAATTTTCTTTATTGTAGGATTGATTGTGCAATGTTGTATCAATGAATATCTAATTTATTAATAGCTTAGAATTAATGCGCGAATTGAAGCATAAAATATTGATTAATAAAACTCAAATATTATGAATAATATAATTCATATTTTTGTACGTACAAATAGCGCCAATATAATTACAAAAAAAATCGTATTCTTGTCTAATCTTATTGGGCGCTATTTATATTTATAAAAGCAAAAAAAAATAAAACAAAAACGACAAAAAAAATTAAATTTGTAAAATGCATTATCTTTACTTAGAGCGAGAATTCTCCAAATTAAGTTTTCTGGTCGCCTAAGATATACTGGTCATATTATCAATTTTGCGTATTACTTTTTTAATGTAGCTTTTTATGTTATTACATCCGTACATGTATTCTATCAGTCTAGGGCTAAGTGAATCGCTTGACGATGAACGTTACTTGTTTCTTAGAAGATTCGTTAAGATATTACTCGACAAGCTAGCTCAGATTCACAGACAGTATTCATTCACATCGTTCTTATGAAAAGTGATTAAATATGGAAAATAATGATGAGTACAAAACACCAAAAATCGTGATGAACTATAAAATTAGCATCATCAGCGGACATCGCAATATTCATAAGGAAGTATTCGTATTATAAGCGTTGTTTGTATATCAAGAGAACATCAGTTTTTAAGCTAATAGTGGCTTTAGAACTTTCAATTTTGAATTGAAAATTATCTCATTGGAAAGAATACACCTAATTATATGTCCAATAAAACAAAATTATCTTGTGCAAAGTACTGTAGCCAGTTTTGGAACGAGAAACCATCTATGAAAACTGTGACAGTTGAAGAAAATCAATGCTTGTCATTATTTCATTCCCTTTCGCTACTTCAATAAGATTTTGCCAAGGTAGAAAACGATTAATTCTCATTAAGGAACTCACTCAAGGATTTCAAAAAGATTTAGCTTCGACGATTAAATGTACTGAACATCGAAGACTAATCTAACTCAAAAGTTAAAGTCTTCTAAAAAAAAACTCAGCAATTGTTCAGTTCGAAAAGAAAAAGCGTTGTCAAATGGGTGGCGAGTCTAGAATTCCATCAGACTTAGAGTGTGAGTGTGAGTAAAGATGTTGTGAAAATTCTTTTAAACAACTTTGAAAAGCGAAACATTCTCGTAAAAAAAGTCCAAAGTAAAAAATTCTCAAGGATGCATTTAATATATTAATTTTTGTGCTATTTATTCAACAGAAGGGAAAGTAAAAATTTTTTACTGCACTGTATTTCAGCGTACTTCAAGATTCGAGTATCAGCGAAGTGAGGGTGTGGGTGTGGGTTGTGGGTGTGGGTGTGGGTGTAGGTGTGGGGTGTTGGTGTTGGTGGGTGTGGGTGTGGATGTGCGTGGGTGGGTGTGGACGTGTGGGTGTAGGTGTGGGTGGTGTGAGTGTAGGTAAACAGAATACAGATATCCGCACATAGATCCACACCCACCCCATAAATATTGGGTGACGTACCAATTAAACTAGATAGCCCACCGATGGACGACGAATAGGTTACAGCAAGAAGGAAGCCTACATATAAACATATGCATTAAAATAGAGCCAATTCTAGACCACGAACAGGAAAGGAAGTCACCTTTTTCAATTGATCATAGTTTTTCTTGTATGTATAGCTGAGTTGAATTTTTTACCGTTTACAGCATAATAATTTCAAGCGAGTATTTACTACTACGGGCGTTTCTAGTTTTCTAAAATAGGAAAAGAAAGCCACAGATTATGGACATGTCAAATCTCGTATATTTACGATTGCTCAGTGTTTTGAATAGTATGAGAGACCTCACCGATTTTATTTTCGTCAGACTCTTCCATATTTGTGGAATCGAATGCAACTAAATACAGTATTATGTATAGTGAACTATAAGTAACTATTGAGCAATATAATACCATTTATAAAATATGCTCTCTGTATGTTGCCTTGTTGTCGATTACGAGAGTTTTTGCTGTAAATCTCGAGTTCATCGACAAGGGCTAATACTACAGGCAATATGATTGATGTTGATGCAATATTGTTCATCCACATTGAAAGAAACGCGGTTACCACCATCATACCAGCCATAATTCTAATTATTCATTACAAGAATTCAATACATAAGAATTAGGTAAACTTGAAAATTTTAAGTATAAGAAATCAACTAGACATAATTTTGTGTTTTCCAAATAAGGATAGGATCAATTTAGAGAAAAGAGTTGCTATACAGAACTGATTGGTTGCCTCTTCGATTCAATAGTATCATCGTCGCATGAACTGATCAAATTATCTTATACCATTTAGTTGCCATGCCAACCAGACTCAATACGAATAGAGCAATACGTCGATGAAGATTGATCAGTTTGACAGCATAACTAAATGCCATACTACCAAAAAATAGTACAATGATATCTTTGAAATAGGGAGGCGCGACGACTTTCGCAGTTAGAACACCAGTCTAGAAAAATTAATGTCAACATTACAAACAAACAAAGATATCCTGCTTTTGTGAAACATGATTTTTACTGAGCCTTGATTTATATCATGAGAAATGTTAGGTATTTCTATTGGGTTCTAAAGAATATGTAAAACATTTCGAGATAGTATTTGTTGACACTTTTAGAGACTGGCAATGAAAGGTGATGTACTGTAAGTTACGGAGAGTGACTATAATCCGATCAAATGAAAGCTCTTACCATCAAACTAACAAATCTAAAATATTTTGTTCATATAGTGTACCTAGAGCAAATTATTTAACTTTCAAGATATTTGAATTTTAGGAATAAAAATGAATTGCGAAAAGTATTCCCCACTATTGTAAGGGCAAAAAATAGCGTTGTTTGAACCATATGAAAGAGGGTCCGCTGAACATATAATCAGCCTGAACGACACTATGCTTTGTTGTTACAAATAGAGGAGAATATCTTTCCTGATTCGTTTTGATCCCTAAGTTTAACATATCTTGAAAGTTAAATAACTTGCTCTGGATACATTATGAAAACATGATATTTTAAATTTTTTAGTTTGATGGTAAGAGCTTTCATTCAACCCAAATATGGTCAATCTCCTTAGCTTACAGGGCATGACCTTTCATTGTGAGATAGATTAAGAGAGATCTCTCGATTAAGATTGAAATGATTTTTATCATGTTTCACAGTTTAATACTATAAAGATTTTACTGAACGCGTTTTGCTTACCATCGGAAAAAGAACAAGTGGCAATAATGAAGTAACTGGCAAAGGTATTACTTCCGAAATCCAGTACACGGCAAGAATGAGCACAATATAGCCATATTTCGCTTACTATTAAAAAAATATGCGTTTAAATATTCTTTAAGTTATACAAAACATATTGATTAACATACGGAATTATTGATGATAATAGGTAATGGAAGTAGGATCAATGGTATCAGAATAATTAACAACAAGTAACGCGACGCAAACGTCGCTAATCCTCTACTGAAAGGATGTGATCTCGTTAAACCTATGGTATTCAAGCAGAAAAATATTAGAACTAATGTGATAGTATGCATCTATGAAAAAGTAAATTGCGCTCGTCACCAAGACTCTCTTGATAACCGTCTGAATTTAATCTAACCATCGTATCTCATCGTTTACTGAATTCTGTTTTGAGAACTATCTCTGAACATGCGCACTTATACACACGCACTGTTTACTATCTTATCAAAGACAACCATTTTGTAAAAAAGACCGAACCTTTCTATTAAGTCTGTGTAAAATGAACTTCAATTGACAACTCACCTTATGTCACCGTCGTCCTAACACCGACCATCACTCCCGACCGCTCGAATTCGCGTATGATCCGAGTAGTATTTAAAGTGATGCTTCATTTTCTTGTTCGAAACATTTTTAGTATTGCGCGGAAACTTATGAAAATGAATTTCATATTCTCATGTTGACTATGAACTCCGCATAGTGAAAGTAATAAGAAGATTAGTAAATGTAAAGCAATGAGGGTAGATATTTTATGTGATGTAGTGAGACTGGAATTCATAAGAATGCTATACTAATTCTCACGGTCTCTATTCTCGGACATGCTTGTCTCATAGTTCACTCGAGTTCTTGAGAAATTTGCTTCATGAGATCTTTGTTTGGTAATTATTTGATGCATTTTAGATTTATCGCTGTTCAAATTTTCTGAAACAAGAAATGACATATTTTCCTTAGATGAATATGACTGATGTGAACAAGTATTATTGTAAGTAGCAGATACCTAATTATATCTTTGGATCAGTACTCTTCCGATTGAGACTCATTCAATAATCAGTATACAAGTGAGACTCATTCTATGCGTTCGCTGACCATTTTGTAACACAGACAAGGAGGTTGCTGCACCTACACGAAGTAATGTTCGTCTAAATTCCATCACGATTACTTGATCAATGATGTTTCTTGTTATCGCTCACATCTTCCTATATTCTTTTTATATTTTCTTCTAAGATCTTTTTCGGTCTTACCAGAAAAATTCAGCCTCAGGTAAGTTGTCATAGTTATTCTCGGTTTGTAACTCTTTATAGCTGTGTGCTTATTTCGTATAGTAACACACATAAGCGTATGGGAAAAGCTATCTCGTAATATCCTGATCAGAGATGGACAGCAGCAACTCTGGAGTGCCCTCTCCATGGAGCTAGCTCCGCTTCAGGAGCAGAGCCATGCGATGCGTTAGAATGGTGAAGCTGGAACAGAGTCGGAGCGGATTCTTTTTAACTGACAGCAGAGTCGGAACTGAGCGCCTCGTGAATAAAATAGAGCTGGAGCAGAGTCAGAGCGACCTTTTTTCTAGCTCCAAAAGTCTGCTCATTTTGCTCTTACTTCTGTAAGCAAAGATGGAAGAATTAGTGAGACAAAAGCTCGTCATCGAGTATTTATTGCAGCGAATATGCCATTGTTACATTTTAATCAATGACAATGCTTGAGGCAGTAACTAACCATTCATTTAGTCGATTGTTATACAGCTTATTTGATTGCGCTATTTTTCGTTTGAAAATATAAGAACGTGACGCTCATGAAGAGAGAAAATGAAATACTATGAGATGTATAAGAAGTAAGCGATCGCAAAACAGGACAAATTTCTCATTAAGCTGAAAATTGAATGAACAAACTTTTCTATGGCAAGACAATCATATAACCGATCGTCATCGTTAACCAAGCAAGATAATGACTTCAAGGAATAATCTTTTTATTCAATCTTGAACCAGCCTACTAGAAGAGTACTTTGCATCGGCTATCTTCGCTCTAGCTGAAAGGTTGTTTTCTCCGAACGGGTACTCATGTGTCCTCATCACAGCCGATTCCCTAAGAGTCATTGCACGATAGTCACGACCAACCGCGCCCAACTGATATCACGAATTTCAATAAAACTTTGCCTATATGTAGACTCAAGTGATATATGAAAAAGTCTAAAATTTCAGCTTCTAAAACCATTCCCTTCTTCAGATATTGAAATCACAATGGAGGCACCGTCAGCTAAAAAAATGATGATAACCAATGCGGTACCTACTCAGTGTATACTTTACTCTTTTTTAACCATGATGTTTTTTAGCATGAAACTTTGAAGATATATACTGCCATTAGTATCCTACAGATTGACACAATCAAAACCATTTTTCAACGTGTTAGGCGGTATAGAGATATTTCATAGGTTCTAGATATACGCTTTCCATTCTGATCAGGATTTCTATCGCTTATGAGCGAGTTATGAGCTTCCACTTTGGAACTAATTAAGTACTACTGTCTCATAACTATTAGAAACAGTTTTCAAAACCTTGGTATTTTGATTTTTGATCCGAACAAAAAATCTTTTCTGGTGTATATATGAGCTGATTTCGGTAAAAATTGGGATCCATTTCCAGATAAGCTGCCCAGTCGTGATTAGGGGTATACCGCTCATGCTCATGAGCGTGAGCCTTTCTGACTTATCGAAAGCGCGAGTATTCCTATTCACTTTTTCCCACTATATTCTCCAAAAATCGACCTTGACGACTATCATGCCTGGCTCCCCATCAGATATTCCAAAAAATTCTCTCTCGTCGTTAGGTTACAAGTCCTTATATTTCGATAGCTCTACGTGTGCTGATTCCAAATATCATATAACTTTACGAAAGTACTCGGATGATAAGAAAAATATGAAGCATTCAATGAAATCCTTAAAAACCAGTTTTTGACTCAAAAGCTTATTAAATTTAGGTTTCTATTCATCACAGATAGGTCGATTCAATACAGACTTGTTCTGTATCTTAGAATTTGTAAGAATATATACAACATTTATTTACTTGCCTACTAAAATATGGTCAATGTCGTCCTAATTTGGTGATATTTTTGAAAAATACCAATTTTTGCTGCCTTATGAAGTTGAATTTTTTTCCTGTATATCACCAATATTTTATTTTGTGAATACGAAATTCTATATACTCTTATTTGCTATATTATTTTTACTTTGATATTCGATGACTGAAGATTTACTTTTCTTATAAGTGCTCTTAATCATAACAAATAGAATGCTTTATACCAATATTTGACAGTTTTCGAGCAGAAGAGTTCGCCTTTCACCTGTCAATAATATCATATTTCGATTCAACACAAAAAAGCTTGTTAGCGCAGCTCGTTTGGGGCTGAAATTCGGAACTAACGTATGTGCGTCAACCTTGCTATCCTAATGCATCATTTGTAAACTGAAAACTTTCCTGTCGACTATAGATCTTTTCACTAATAATTCATGCGAACAGCCAGAATCTATTATTTATTTCTACAGTTACAAATGAAAATTTCTTTTTCGTTTGAGATATCCTGATTTCATTGATAATTGTTGCAGTGCAATAGGGGGAACCAGAATTTCGGCCCATTATCCTATCGATCCTAAAATAAAATTCTAATCGTTTAAAGCTAGTTGCTAGAGATTGTAGTGATGACCAGGACGCCATAGTGCTCAGCGATACGACGTAATGCTGAGCAGAACGTCATAGTGGTGAATAGTGTGACGTAGTCCTGAGAAGAAGATCATAATCTTCAGCATTATGATGTAGATGTCAATGTGAGTGAAGTGTGGAGTACTTTGGGTGTGGTGTGGGGTGGCGTGGGTGTGATAGTGGGTGTAAGTGTTGAAAGAAAGGAAATCCACAACCACACCCTCTGCTCAGCACCACGATGCCTAGCAACCAATTGCAAAAAAAATAGGTTTTCTATTTTAGGGATTAATGAGGCCATGAACCGAAAGTCCAGAAAGAACTTCAGCCCGACCCAAAAATTCACCGAAATTTCGGACAGAGCCGAAAACAGTGTGGGTGTAGGTGTGTGGGGTGTGGGTGTGGATGTATGGGTTGGGTGTGCATGTAGGTGTTCATCGTCTCTAAAACACACCCACACCCATATCCGCCACCCACACCGTGAACATCTTATGATTTAAATATGAACAATGAGTGTGTAACATCATACGCTCCTTCGACTTAAACAGACTTATTAATAAGTGAGAATGAAAAACAATTGAATATATTCCTTAAAAAAAAGAAACTAAAAATCAATCAACTCAAACGTCTTCAAAATCATGCTTATGCTCAAAAACATTTTTAGAAGTAATAACAAAAAGAAAAACAACGAGCAATTACAGAATCTTATCGTGATGTCGGTCGTATATTAAACAAAGTATTTTGAACAATGGTTTTCTTAAAATATTAAAACATTTGATTTTTGAAATGAATTAAAATAAACTATTGAAATGCATAAAAATAATGAAAATGAGACTTTTTGAAAGAAAATTTGGCATTTTAACGAGGATGGCGAGAAGATCTGTTCAAATCACGTGACCAGGAAAGGAAGTCCTAAAATATCACGTTTGATCACAGGGAAGCGGATTGAAAATGGTCAAAACCGTTATCATATGATTTCCTGAACAGTTCATGTTGAATATGATTGTGTACCAATATCAATGGATGATTCAACAAAAGAAAATCATGTATGTCAAAATGGTACAGAAATAACAAGTGATTATTGAATAATACGAAGTCCTGGCTATCCAACACAATTTCAAATAACAACAGCCGAATGTTTTCGTGCAATACATATACCAACTGATAAAACAATTTCGTTTATGGTTAACTGATCTATATATTGGTTCAACATTGGGAACTTGTGCTAAAGACCATGTTTATGTTGTTGATAGTGTTCAAACATATCTACATTGTTCTCATATACGATATGCTTATCCATATTTATGTTCATCAACAATTATTATTCAATATTATGTTACATCACAATTATCGACCTATCGCGGAATGAGAATGGATTTTGAACTCGCTGATCGACCTACAAATGATAATTGTCCAAATTCAAATGGAACAGTAACAGCTGAATCAGCTACAACACCAATAATAACAACTATTGATCCACATCTTACTACGAATACATCTATTTATGCTACACTAGGAATTGCATCACCTATTCAAAGTTTTCAACTTTGTAAAGATAAATCATTGAATTTATTGAATAGAAAACAATATCTAAATTTTTCTTTTTAGGTCAATCATTTACACTAGAATGTCCAAATAATTATGGTTTAATTATAATAACAAATATATTGGGTGTTACTCAATCTGATCAATGTGAACAACATGATGTAGTGGAACATTGTGTTATTATGTACAATGGAGCCAACATTTGTATGTCGTCAAAAATGTACTTATTTCTATTCAGGTAATCAATGGTGTGGGGTGTGGGTGTGGGTATGGGTGTGGATGTGGGTATGGGGTGTGGGTGTGAGTGTGGGTGTGGGCGTGGGTGTGAGTGTGGACGTGAGTGTGGTCCTTCTCTTCCATTAACGCCCACACCCACACTCACCCACACTCACACCCACACCCACACCACACACGCACACCACACACCCACACCACACACCCACACCACACACCCACACCAC